CAATTGTTACATCTCAGTCTTAAGCTTTTCCTCACAAAAAAGTGAGAGAACCCTCTTACTCTGGTTTTCCTCATCAGGACTAAGCCCAAAGAACTTGAGAAAACAGGCAAAGTCTCCCTACATTCTAACCAAAATGCTCTAGTAGTATGGATCAAGTTCCATCTGTCAGAATGTTATGTCAAAAATCAAAATTCAACATGCTCCCAATGAAAAAGCACAAAGAAACCTTTGGGAACTAAATGCCAAAACTGAAAGTATTTATAAAATTAAAAAATGCACTAATAGCTCAGTAGATTATTCAAAGCTAAACTGAGTTGCTTTTCAGCTCCCATTTTTCCCCTCTCAAGGAAAAAAAGGAAGGACTTTTAACAAAATGATTCTTACATTCAGTTTCAGCATTTAAAATTCTTGGAACTTACATATTTATATGACAAAAATTTTTAAAAATTTCATCTTTAAGTGATAACACTTTACTTTTTGGTCATGTTAAAGATCTGTGCTGGAATGTGTTACGAAAGCATGAAGCCACTCCTATTGCTCCACTTACAGTTTAATGCACATGCAGAACTTCTGTCAAACTGTTAATAAAACAAAAATATTCAATGTTTTTTCTAAAAATCAAAAACTGTTTCATGAAAGTTAGAGATTGTACATAAGTCTAAATCCCCCATATTCCTGCAATAGTTTGAGTAACAACTAAAAACAAGGTTATAAAATCTAACCAACAACCTATACCTACTATATGTAAGGCACTATAACAGACACTGAAGATAATAAGGTATAAAAGACTGAATTCCATCTAATAAGTAATATTTATAACTGGAAAGATGGCCATCATGTTTAGGTACACAGGCCATTTAACAATTATTAAATATTCCATCTTTATTTCATTTATTCCATATATATATATATATATATATATATATATATATATATATATATATATATATATATATTTATTTATTCATGGGGGTCGGGGGAGTGTTTCATGTCACCCTGACAGACTGTAAGCTTAAGAATGGGATTAATTTCATTGTTTGTATGAGTTTCCCCATCATCTAGCATAGTATCTGGCACATCGTGAGAACTTAAATACTTACTGATTTATAATTTTTTGAGAGCTCGGTTCAGATCACAGCTTTGCTATTTAAACATCTCTGGGTCTCAGTTTTTTCATCAGTAAAATGAAAGGATTCTAGTTCTAAATCCTATGAATCTTTAATCACTAAAATTGAAAACAATGTACTCTGAGAACAAGTGGAACACTCTTACCCTAAAGGAAGAAGGGAGGGGAACTTGAAAAAGGGAGCAGAATGAAAAGAAGGCTGTAGAACAGTACAGTTTGTCTGCAATAGAATACAGGAAAGAAAGTTGTATGGTAAGTGGTCTGGAGCCAGTTTATAGAGGGCCTTAAATGTCAGGATCAGGCGTTTATACTTTATTCAGTAGACAATGCAGATGCACTGAAGCTTTTGGGGCAGAGTTTGGCACTGGGAAAATTAATGGGAAAGACAGATTACAAACAGACTGAAGGCAAGAAGGCCAGTGAAGAGACTGTAAGAAAAGTCTAATGGGACCTCTAAGCAAAGGAGTTGTTCAAAGTGCAGTAGAAAAACGTAGAGGATAGATGCAAGAGATACAATGCCAAGGTAGAATCAGTAAGACAGCAACCAATTGTGTTAAAACTGGGAGAAATGGGTGACTGAAGTTAAATGCCTACAGTATTAAGAAGATGGTTGGTGCCATCTACAGAAATACAGAAGTTAAGAAGCAGGAGGAAGTTCAATTATGGAAATGTTAGGTTTCAGGAGCTGGCAGGATAATAGCAGACAGGGAAAAAAATGGGGTTTCCTACACCATTTTAGAAAAAAATGGAAATCTATGCTAAAATATGATCAACTAAAAAGGGTTTCTTAAATATCCTAGCTTTAAAAATACACAACAAAGCATGATTCATATTTCAGAATGTTTCCCTTACACTTTCTTCTCTTTTGACTTATAGATATCAATCACCTTATTCGATGAACTATGAAAATTTCATAAATTCAGATTTTAAAATTTCCTAACCCCACCCCAGAAAGTTCACAAAACTTCCAAGGTAAAGGAGAGAATGACTATATGGTGCAGTGAAAAGGGTAATGAGTTACAATACTAAGTGCCACTTAGTACTCATGCAATCAAGTCACAAGTTTCTAGGCCTCAGTTTCCACATCTATGGAAGTAAAGGGCTGGACTCAATTACCTCTAACATCGGTTTCTTTCAGGGCTAAACTTAACTACGATGCCATTCAACTACTGCCCTTCACACTTTTTTTTAAAAGACAGACTGGGAAGAAAGAATAAAAAATGTAGTTGGTAGCTAAACTATTTCCACACTTAATAGGCTTAAGTAACTAAAACACTACTCTTCTCTTTTCTTCTCTTTCTGAAATCAGAGGGAGGGGAGAGATTGAATTACTTCCAGTCCAAGTTTGTTGTCAAATTGGGATTCTTGAAATTAAGTAAAATAAAATTAGCACTGCACTTTTTTTTAAATCCAAGATTCACTGGTAAATGTGGGTAGCAATTATCTTTTCAACTAATTTAAAAATTATTTGCTTTTTAAAGTACACGTGAAAGATTTTGGCATATACAGTATATGGTACTTATATACATGTTGCATGCATACATATACACACATACATATATACATACACAAATATACAACATTTGTATATACAGAAGATACAGGGTTTGATAGGAGGAAGGAAAGAATATCGACTTTTGGAGTCAAAAGACCTGGGGTTCAAGTCCCATTTCTGGTGCCTAGTACCTCTTCGAACTTGGGTAAGTCACTTAGCCTCTATGGGACTCAGTTACCTCATCTATAAAATGAAGGGGTTGAACTAGATGGGCCTCTTATGTTCCTTTCCGGTTGCTCTAAGTGTGTCACAATTCGTAAAACAAGTTCATTTTCATCTACCCAAAACCCAGACACTGATCTTTTTTTAAGGTAGTGAGGAGAGAGGGGAGGCAGGAATAGCAACAAAACCAGTTAAATGGTTCCCTTTGTTTGAGATCAATGGAATAACTACTAAATCAAAGATTAAAAGGTACATACCAGGCTTAATAAACTACCTTATTCACCAGAAGAGAATATGATTAAAGTGACAAATTACAGAATCATGCTGCAAGCTTCCCAAATCAGCATGCTTTTTGTACAGTAACTTTCAAAAACAGTAACTTTCAAGAGTGGACCCAAAAAGAATCATTTCTACGGTAAATATATGCGTAGGTCTAAAAAAGATTAGCTAGAAAAGGGACAAAAAATTCCAAGTATAACATCACAAAACCAATTTTATAATAGATAATGAAATAAAGGAAACTAAAAAGCAGTCCTTGCCACCACCACCACCACCACCACCACCACTACTGCTGCTACTACTACGACGACGACGACTATTACTACTAGAACATTACCCCCACCCCAAAACCCCCTCCCCAGCTTTAAACACCGTCTAGATGTATTACGAGTAAAGCAGCATAATGGACAGAAAGGGCCCCAGACTCGACAGGGCAATGGCCCCAAGCTGCGGAAGATGCCTTCGGCCCCTTCCCATCGCACCCCAGGGCGCTTTAATCACTAGTTTCTGCCTGGCCCGGCCGGTTCTCGGTATCAATCACACTCCACACAGGCGCCCCCCACCACGCACCCCGAGCAGAGGAGACGAGCACAGACTAGAGCACAACACAGACACATTTCCGAGCCCCCCCCCCACCGGGAATTATCCGAGGTGGGGGTTGGGAGACCGGGGTGGGGGGGTGCATGTTACCTCGACGGAGGCGGCGGCCCCTCCGGGGCAGGATCGGGGGCCTCGGACCTTTTTGTTCCTTCCTCTTTGGAATGGGATGGAGGGGTCGGGGGAAGAAGGGAAGGAGGCAGGGGAGGAGGAGGGGGAGTGGAAATGGTCGATTTAAGGCGGAACTGAAAACACTCTCCCCTCCGCCCCTCCCCCAGAGGAGGGAGAGTCCCGAGGCGAAGAGGAGCCGGACCAGCGGGCCGTGGGGGGCTGGGGGACAGCAGGTTGGGGAGGGGTCGGGGAAGCGGGGGAAGAGGAGCCACCGCCCGGTCCGCCCACACCGGAGGGGAGGAGAAAATAGGGGAGGGCGTGGGGCCGTGCGTGTCCCGCCGCTCGCCCCTCCTCCCCTCCCTCACGCGCGAGCCCGCAGACACACAAACACGCACACACACACGCACACGCGCGCGCACACACACACGCACACATAACACAAACCGGCCCGCGCGGTTTCCCTGCCCCCACCGCCGCCCTGCCACCTACCGCTGCCGCGCAGCGAACCACCCTGCCGGCTGCTCGCTCACTCGGCTCTCGCAGGCTTAGATACCCTAGCTGCCGCTGTTGCTGCTGCTCCTGCACCGCCGCGGCCGTGCGGGTAAAACCCGCCTCCAACCTCGGGTCCCGGGCCCCGACGATTCGTCGGGACAGCCCCGGGGCTGGCACCCTGCCGCCTGCTGATTGGCGCCCCCGCCCGCCCGTTAGGGCGTGAGGAACGCGCCGGCCGTGAGGAGCGCTCCGCGCGCTCAGAGATATGGTGGGGGGGCGGGGAGCGGGGGAAGGGAGCTCAAGTGCGCAGGGGAGAGAGAGTTACGGACTAACACCTTCTTTGCTTTTTCCTCTTCGCCACTCCCTCCTAACCCACCCGATCTGATCGACAGCTACCACAACGAATCAGAGATTGCCAAGGTCGGGGTGTGCGCGGAGCGTCGGGAGCCCTGAATTGGACGGGAAACGTCGCTCGCTGATGGATCCCGCCTCCCCCGTAGAACGTGAGGTGGTGCGGGGGAGGGGTCAGAAAGGCAGCGGTTTCGGTTGATTCCTCTCGCCCGCTTATACAGGAGATTCACTGGAAGTGGGGGCTGGGGGAGGGGGGAAAGACAGGATCTATCTAAACATGCAGTAACCTGCCGCGTAGGGAAAATAATCCCCGCAAAAGTACTTACCCATGTTTGTACCCCACCCAGTGTGCCTCAGCCCAGCTGGCTTTCCGCCCCTTCCCCTGGTCATCATCCCCTTCACACTCACTAAGTGGCCACAGGGTGGAGCTAGTTTAGGGGACTATCCCTCTCCCTTCCGATAGGGATTTAATCCACCCCCAGGGGAGGGAAAACAAGGAAGGCAAAGAGGTGACGAGAGCTCCCAGCCCCATCACCCCCGGAGACAAATGGGACCGAGAAAAGTAAGGGGGCGTGGTTAAAAAGCCGGGAGGGTCTTGCATGTAAATAAGGAGGCGGGGATAAAATCACCTCCGAAAGCAAATTAGGTTGGTCTAGAGGGGCGGGGCCCAATCAGAATGGGGGTCCTGGTGCGGGGCTGTGTCAGCTGTACAGGTGAAATGTTGCAGCCATCATAGGTTCGTTGGATTTATGATGGAGGGGACCTCAGAGTCCACCAGATCCAGTCCTCTTATTTTTCACAGGAGGAAACTGAGGTCCAGAGAGGGGAAAGGTCTGGTCCAAGTTCAAGTAGGGAGTAAATCACACAGCTGGTATTAGAACCCAGCTAGGGCTCATTCTGCTTACCACACTGCCTTCATTCTTTCAAAAGTAATCCCGCCTCCTCCTCCTCTTCTTCCTTCACCACCTTGGCTAGTATTATATCATCAAAATCCTAGTTTGTTACCGGTCTGTACTGGAATTTTTGTTTTCATTTATTTTGATTACCCTAAATTACTCCCAATGTCCAATGGTCGACGTGGGACTGCAAAATCTGCCATATGGAAATGTAAGGAGGCTTTCAGGGGGTGGCCCTCCAGGGTTTTCTGAAGCCCTAGCCAGGCACAGTCCACCATTTCCATTTAGGGAGTACCTAAGCCCCTAGAGAAGATAATATGAAACAGTCAAATCAACTCAGCTCTTTGTTGAACACCATTTCTTTCTAGACTTTTTGACAGAGATGGAGAGGAAATCTGGCCATAGTCTGACATACACAATAGATTGGGAGAAGGGTTTCAAAAGATTCAGAGAAAAGATAAGTAGAGTCCTCAGATAAAGGTCTCATTTCTCAAATACTTATAGAACTTTGCCAAATTTATATGAATATGAGTCATACTCCAATTGATAAAGGGTCAAGGGATATGAACAGGCAGTTTTTCGATGAAGAAATCAAAACTATATATAATCATATGAAAAAGTGCAAATTAAAACAACTTTGAGATATCATCTTACACCTATCATGTTGGCTAAAATGACAGATACCCTTCAATTGGGGAATGGCTAAACAGGATGGGGTACATGATTGAGATGGAATATTACTATGATATAAGAAATGATGAGCTGATTGGTTTAGAAAAACATGGAAAGATTTGCACTATGAAGGAAGATGCTATCCACTTCCAGAGAAAGAACTGACAAATAGAAATAAGTGTAGGATGGTCTTACGTATATGTATATGTGTATATGTATATACATATATGTATATGTTTATAGATATGTTATGTGCATATATTTATACTTAATTGTAGCTTGTGGTGGGTAGAAAAAATAAGATTAAAAAATGCACTGCAGAGAGAAAAAGAAAACCTAGAAAGAAGCACAGAAAAGCTGGGTAGCTTTGAAAACAATGCATAGTATTGATTACATAGATTTTCTTGAAATGGAAATTTATTGTTTTAAATTGAATCCTCTCTTATGTTTACCTGTGTACATGGAAATGTTTTCTTGTTTCATATTTAAGTTTAAAATGAATAAAAAAAATTTTTTTAAAGATAGGTAGGATGTTGTGGACTAAAAGATCATGGAATTAAGGCCAGATAACATGTTGAATATGAGAACTTGATTGTTCTTATAAAAATAGTGCTAACGCTTAAAATCAGCTATTTCTGATAAGGGAAGTTAAGAATAAGCTATATTGGGAGCAAAAAGATCTTTAAAAGAGACAGGACCTTTGCTTGGAGTGGGATGGGGTGATGATAACTGACAACAGAGAAGACAAAACTGCTCAAATCTTATTTTGTTTCTGTTTATTAAAGAGAATGATCTTCACACTGGAATGACAAAACAAATATGACTAACAATGAGTTGATGCCCAAGTAACATAATGACAAAAGATCATCTGGTTGTTCTTGATTAAAGCAGTTAGCCTGGTCCAGATAGATTACATACTCAAATACTGAAAGAACTGGAAGGGATGTGACTGCTTATTCAGTCAGTGATATTTGAAAGATCATGGAAAACAAGGGAGATACCACAAGATTAGGAAAGGACTAATGTTGTTCTGATTTTCATTAAAAAAAAATGAGAGGAGAAAGAACAGTTTTTAAACTATAGGTCAATGAGCTTCACTTTCTGGGAAAATTCAAAAATATATCATTAAAGAGATGATTGGTGAGCCTCTAGAAGGGGAAATAGTGATTACAAAGAGCCAGTATGACTTCATCAGGAACAAGTCACAGAAGCAGCTAGGTGGCACAGTGGGTAAGCTCCAGCCTTGGAGTTAGGAGGACCTGAGTTCAAATGTGGCCTCGGACACATGACGCTTACTAGCTGTGTGACCTGGGCAAGTCACTTAACCCTGATTGCCTCACTAAAAAATAATAATAATAATAATAACCCCGATTGCCTCACCAAAAAGGAAAAAAAAAGAATACATCACGGCAAACTCATCTCATTTCTTTTTTCAATAGACATAAACTTGTAGATGAAAGGAATGCTGTGGATATATTTTACTCAGATTTTAACAAAGCTTTTAATAAAATACCACTTACTTTTCTTATGGAGAAGAGGGACAGACATAGACTAGATACAATTAGATGGATTTAGAACTGGTTAAATATTTGGACTCAGTATATGTTAGTAGTTCTATGTTAGCATGGCAGTATATTTCCAGCAGAGTACCCACAGAGATCCCTGCTTGATTCTCTGCTATTTAACATTTTATCATGGACTTTGATAAAAGCATATCATCAAATCTGGAGAAGATATTGGGCGGGATAGAGAAAATACTGGAAAATAAATTCAAGCTTCAAAAGATCTTGTCACCTGGCAGAGTTAAGGCAGGGACTCACTTCATCTCTCCCAAATTCCCCACCAAACAACTTTACAAACTTTATAACTTTACAAACAACTACAATAATGCCTCAAAACAAATTCTGGACTAGCAGAACCAACAAAAGGACAGTAAAACAATTTTCCAGCCCAAGACAGCTTAGAAGGTTGGTAGGAAAGGTATGTCTAACTGGGATGAGAAGGGAGTGCAGTCCAACACAGATCATGCCCTGGCAAGCCAGTAGTAGGCCTTCAGGGTGACTGAATCAGCCCACAGATTGTAAGGGAAGCAGGGTCAGAAAACTGGTAAGAAGGCAATTATAGGAAACCCTTTCTTTTCACTGGGTGCAGGATTCTGTTGCATTACTGATATGTGGTTCCAGTTCACTGTCTTAGAGTGAAGAGGATCACTGGAACCCTAGAACATTTGGCCCCAGGAGAGTCACAGTTATAGGGCTGAAAGAGTACAGTGTTTACTCACAGACCAGCGCACAAGCCAGGAGAATAGTGACCACACTTTTCTTTAGATCATACTACTTTTGAAGAACTGAAAACCTAAAGACACTGTCCACAAAACTAGCTCTGAAAATAGCAACAGAAAAAACCTGAAGCTTGGGACAGTGCTCTCTCTACCCTGGGAGCAGAGTACAACTTTAACATAAAGTTAAAAGTCAAGAAATACACTGGGAAAATGAGCAAACAACAACAAAAAAGAACCTGACCATAGAAAGTTACTATGGTGATAGGGAAGGTCAAAACATAAACTTAGAGGAAGACAACAAAATTGAAATAGCTACATCCAGAGCCTCAAAGAAATATGTGAATTGGTCTGGGGTCCAAAAAGGATTCCTGGAAGAGCTCAAAAAAGAGTTTTAAAATCAAATAAAAGAGGCAGAGAAAAAATGGGGAAAGAAATGACAGTGATGCAAAGAAATCATGAAAAATGAGTCAACAGCTTGATAAAGGAGACAAAAAAAATACTGAAGAAAGTAATCCTTAAAAATCAGAATAGGACAAATGATAAAAGAGGCACAAAAGTCCACTGAAGAGAAGAACTTAAAAAGCAGGAATTGCCAATAGAAAAGAGGGTACAAAAACTCACTGAAGAAAATAATTTCTTGGGGCAGCTAGGTGGTGCAGTGGATGGAGCATGGACCTGAAGTCAGGAGCACCTGAGTTCAAATCTGACCTCAGACCAAACACTTGACCCCTACTAGCTGTGTGACCTTGGGCAAGTCACTTAACCCTGATTGCCTCACTAAAAAAAAATAATAATTTCTTAAAAATTAGAATTAGGCAAGTGGAAGCTAATGAGTCCATGAGACATCAAGAAATAATAAAACAAAATCAAAAGAATAAAAAAATAGAAGATAATGTGAAATATCTCATTGGAAAAACAATTGACTTGGAAAACTAGATCAAGGAGAGCTGGTTTAAGAATTATTGGACTACCTGAAAGGCATGATCAAAGAAAGAGCCTAGATGTCATATTTCAAGAAATTATCAAGGAAAATTGTCCTGATATCCTAGAAACAGAGAATAAAATAGATGTTGAAAGAATCCACCAATCCCCTCCTGAAAGAGATCCCAACATGCATATTATAGCCAAATGCCAGAGCTCCTAGGAAAAGGAGAAAATACTGTAGGCAGCCAGAAAGAAATAATTCAAATATTGTGTAACCACAGTCAGTATAACACAAGATTTGGCAGCTTTTATGTTAGAGGATCAGAGGGTTTGGGATATGATATTCCAGAAGACAAAGGAGCTAGGATTACAACCAAGAATCACCTACCTAGCAAAACTGAGTATAATCATTCAGGGGAAAAATGAATATTTAATGAAATAGATGACTTTCAAGCATCCCTAATGAAAAGATCAGAACTGAATGGAAAATTTGATTTTCAAACACAATACTCAAGAGAAGTATAAAAAAGGTAAACAGGAAAGAGAAATCATAAGGAATTCAATAAGTTTAAACTGTTTACATTCCTACATGGGAAGATGCCTAAGAACTTTATCATTATTAGGGCAGTTAGAAGGAGTATACGTAGACTGAGGGCACCGATGTAAGTTGACTATGATGGTATGATATCTAAAAAAAAAATTAAATTAAGGGATGAGGAAGAGAGATGCACTGGGAGAAGGGAAGGGAGAGGTAGAATGAGGTAAATTATCTTACATAAAAAGCTTGAA